CATGCCGCCCTTATTGGTTGTCCCGTTTTGCAATTTTGAATTGTCACCATACTTACTGTCAGTCTCAGAAGCCTCCCTTGACCCATTGCATATATTGGAGATATCGTTTAATTTGTTTTGGTTCTTAAGAACATCCATTGACTTGCCATTTGTAAGCTGTCCAGAATCAGCAGTGTCAACAAATGATCTAGATTCAGTGCCATGGTTCTCTGAACTAATACTTTGATCCTGCTTTGCAAATCTAAGAAGTTCTTCTAGCTCTAGTAATTGTTTCAGATCTGCTGTTTGGTGTAGAGCATGCTCATAACCTAGTTGCCACGCTGCCAGAGCATCACTGGACCTACCCAATGATGAAAAGGCACGACCTAGATAACAATGAGCACAAGTTCAGGAGAAAAGAGAAGCAACTTTTTATCATTCAATTGACTTATGAATCAGCTGTGAAGCATGGATATATAAGAGAACTTTGCACCTCAACATATACTGGATACAGGAGGACGCTGTGAAATCACATGAGCATGCAAAAGCAGATGCGTAACTTCTCATACCCCCAACCCCTGATCTAACTCTACTTTCTTATTCATGCAATATCTTAGCTTGTGAAGGCATGACCAGCATTACCTTTATAATACTCTTAACACCCAGTTATTCTCACCATAATTAATGTCAACGCATAGTTTTATTAGGTTAAGAAGTTCCTTCAAGGAAAGGCAAGACTGAAACAGATCATTTCACCAATGTTATGACGCTTCTGCCTCCTATTACTCATTAACCGTTAAATACGTGGCTGAGACTTGCAAGCCTTTTGCTCATCCAAGTTGATCACGGATACCATGGTGGCATAGAAAAATCGTCCATATATAACAACCAGGACTTAGGAATTCAATTACAGGAACAATTCATCTATTTCCACCAGAACAATTAGTTTGTCACACGCGCATACCACTTGGATGGCCACATGAATAATTGTGGTGACATTTCTGCTAACTAGGCTACACATTCCTTCAACATGTGGTCGATACTCCACGAATACCACTAAGCAGCCAGAGGCAATAATCCAAAACTCGGATGTAATTCAATTATTCTTCCGCAACCCTTTGATATTACACTGTCAGTACCATTCTGATTTCACGAAATTCTTTTCATGAAGTATCCGACACATATTCCTACAGATAGCGTTACAATCCTCCTCTCATCTAACTTGATCACCAATGCCACAGTGGCATAGTAAACAACCAATATAAGTAATTAAGAAACCACAAGCAAGAAGTCTCAGAACCTAGTTGCATCTCTCTCGTAAAACCATTTTCACACTCATCTATAAACTTCGATTTCAAAATCTTAGATCGTCACAACATCTCTGCCACCTATCCAACGCATATCATCTTAAACACATCATTAAAGACTCGCAGCCGACCCCATGTCTAACCTGATCACCAACGTCATGTAGGAATCCTGAAAACCATTATGTTAGAAACAAGCAAGAGACCACGCCTAAGAATCATACCAAGTGTATGATTCAACTATTCATGTGGAAGCAATTTGATACGCTACTCATAGCTCAGACCAGATAGAAAAAAATAAGTGGACAAGGGCAACACTCTGTCATTCACCAGCGTTCTCCATATGCAGACTCCAATAAACCAAATAATCAACAGCAGAACCAACACACTGGAGGCAGCAGTTATCCAAGTCAACGCTATGCAAATGGAATGGGGAGCAACTCATGCTGCTCCTCACGAAAACACAAGAAGACAGATGAACAATGCACAAGAACAAACACCTTTCAGTATATAAGCTTGAAGAAGCGTAGGTTCGAGCTGGAGCGCCCTGTCACAGTCCTTAATCACATGCTTGTGAAGCTCCAATTGACTGTAACAAAATGCTCTATTGCTGCAAAAAAACAAAACAAAAATCCCTCCGTCAAGGGGGAAAAAAAACAATCGACGAAATGAATAACTAAACAGATCGAATTCGGGATAGAACTCGGCGGAAAGGAAGGAAGGAATCACGGACCAGATATCTTGAATGGAAGAGGACTGGGAGAGGAGAGAGTCGAGAACTCGAATCGCCTTGGACCAATCCCGGGAGGTACAAAGCTTGGCGAGCTCTACTCGCTCGGAGATCGCCGACGCCATAACCCGAAAAATTGAACCAAAATCGCTCAGCCAAGCGAACTCAGGCGAGCCGCAGCCTAGCTTGCGTGCACTCTGTGCTTCGACGACTATCCTTCGCTTTCTCGGTTTCCGCTCAGCTCTTCAATTTTTTTATCGCAATCTCTCGAACGGGGGCAAGACTGAGAAACGGAGTCTGTTTTTCCGTTTTAATTTTCTAACCCTCCCTGAGGCTGTAAGCGAAGGAAGGAGAGCGGAGGAGAGTGAAAAAGGAGTGAGGGGAAGAATGTGGCCGCAAGTTTGACGACGTTGGGTGGTCTGGTGGGGAAGCAGCGGGGCGGGCTGTGGCGCAAGATGGATGGTACGTGCGAAGGACACGTGTGGGCGGGAGTGGGAAGAAAAGTGCTGTGGTTTGGATTGGTGGTTCGTTCCGTAGGTTTTCCGGTGGAGGAACTCTGGGGTCGGATATACTATGCTAAGTTGCTAACCCCCTAAAGAGTCTATTTTTTGACACCATCTTCTTGATTGGTCACTTTTCCATTTAATCATTTGGTAAGTTGTATTAATGAAAGTTGCTTTTTATTTTATTTTTTGTAATCTTGTAAATTGGGAAAGCCTTAATTGTGATAATAATTATGAATGGGGAAGGAGAAAAACGTTGGAGGGGAAGTGTTTTCAGCTCCCATATTCCTCTTATTCCCCTCCCAAAAAATAGCAACCCTTCCCTCTCCTCTGCAGAACTTGACGGTGGCCCTCTCCTCTGCAGAAATCGATGGCGGCAGGAAACCATCGAGTTGCTCGCTGACGGTGGGATCGCCTTCGACCTGCCTGGTGGGTTGCTCTTCGCCGAAGGACGACACTTGGAGGATGAAGAAGAACATGAAGGGCGGCGGTCGGTCATTTCTTACCGCTCCCTGTCATGAAGTGCAACCCTACAACGTCTAGGAGACAGCGACACTCCCGTGAGCATGTACCACTGATGTGGTACATGTATCAGTGATCTGGTACAAGTACCAGTGCAACTATTCAAGCCATATTTTCCACACCAAAATGTGACCATTCACTTGTAGTGTTAGATATATTGCACCTGTACAAAATCGAAACTCATCCTAAATGTTCCCATTTCAGTGTTAGATAGACTTTGGAGTGGTACCATTGAAATGATACATGTATCACTGAACTGATATACTAGTGAACTTATACATGTACCACTAAATAGATACACGTATCACTGAACAGATATATGTACAACCAATTCGATACGTAAACAAACCAGCAACTTCCCATTAGTATCACCACTAATCCTGGAGTAAAATGTGTTATCAAAAAAGAAAAATGGCAACAATAATAAAATATCCAGCCAATGCAACAAATAAACATGAAGTCACTATGAAATTGTTTGTGGGAAGTCTAAACCAAGGGAAATCAAGTATAGCCTTTCTATCCTATGAACCGCACATTTTTTTTTTTTTGTCGCTCCCTGTCGTGAATTGCAACCTTATAGTATTTGGCAAACGACAACACTGCCATGAACATGTACCACTGATCTGGTACATAAACATGTACCACTGATCTAGTACATATACCAATGAATTGATACATGTACCACTGAAGTGATAACCTTATACAAGTAACCATGCAACTATTCAAGTCATACTTTTCACACCAAAATGTGACCACCCACTTGCAGTGTTAGATATAATGTACTCATATCATTAGCAAAATCGAAACTCATCCTAAATGTTTTCATTGTAGTGTTAGATATACTTTGGGGTGGTACCATTGAAATGATACATGTATCACTGAAATGATAGATATACCAGTGAAATGACACACATATCATTGCACTGATACATGAACCACTTAACAGATACGTGTACTACTGAAAGTATATATGTACAACCAATCTGATACGTAAACTAACAAGCAACTTTCCATTAGTATCACCACTAACCGCAGAGAAGAATGTGTTCTCAAGAAAGGAAAATGGAAATAACAAATAATATCCAGCCAATGTAATAAACAAAAATGAAGTCACTAGGATATTGTTTGTGCAAAGTCTAAATAACGACAAATCAGGTGTCGAAGGATGATTGGGTCACTTGGGTAATGCAATGGAAAAACATAATTTGAATTATAGAGTTGGAGTTGCACTTCTTGCCGCTAAGATAATCAGTATGTTTCCTCTCCCCCCTAACTTGTTGTCCATTATCCTGGATTTCACGAAATCGCTTCTTGCTGGTACCCGCACTCGAGAAATGATCCTAACCTAACCCATTTTCTTCATTACAAAAACACATAGCTTCCATGCCTCTTCACTCTAGGCACTCAAGGATACGGTCTCTTCATCCTGGCTAGTTCTGTAGTCAATAATTAGCACTATCAATGCAGTGATAGAAATACGAATCAATAAGTAAGACAACTATCACTACATTGGTAGAATTACCAGTACATTTTTGCACCTGCTGACTCCCTCCGAGCACCTGCAAGAAGTATCACTGCACTTGTAAGGCATATCACTTCACTGGTAGAAATACCACTAGACTAGTAAGACACATCACTTCACTGGTACAAATACCACTCGAATAAAAAGTTTAACATTGATAACATTCAACAAAAACTCAAACACTACAATTATCATTGCAGTGGTAACATTACCACAAGAAGAAGAAAAAAGATCTTAGTGGGTATGAGAGAGAAAAACTAAACTGATAAGGAATAGTTAAAAAATCACAAATCTAGAAAAATTCAGGATAATGATAAACTACCAGTACACTGGCACCATTACAGTACTCACATATGAGTATAATCATAAACTACCAGTTCAATGGTATCAATACCAGTTCCACACCAAAAACCCAGATCTGGGTATGGGAGAGATAGATAGTGGGACAGAGAGAGCTACCTCAGATTCTTCGTCGTTGTCGGGAAGGGGAGGATGGCCAGTGTAGGAAGGGGAGACGGGTCATCATCTTTGCCGGGAATGTGAGGAGGGTCATCGTCTTCTCCATTGATCCCTTCACAGTGCCAAGCTTGTGGAAGGATATGGAATGTTACGGCAAGCTTAGCGTTGCTCGGAGAACAGCGGCAGTCACCATCTAAGACATAGCCTACGACGGAGGATGTGGGACGGATCCGGAGGGAGATGTGGACTGTGACGGTGAAGAGGCGACGACGATGAGCAGGGGAAGAGGGAATAGAGGGAGAGAGGAGGAAACGAAAGGGAGAGAAGAAAAGGGTTTCAAATTAGGGGTGAGAACCGTTTTTTCCCGAGATTCTTTCCCTTTTCCAATGTGGTGAGAGAAATTAATTATGTAATTAATGTCTAAAAAAATAGGTGATTAATCCTTATCATTGGATTAGATGGATGGTATCTAAGAGGGGTGTCAAAAATCAAACCCCCTTAAGAGGGTAGTCACGTTAACCGCTCTCAGGAACTCTGATTCTGAATTCTGATAGCTTTCGGATCTCTTTTTTTTCCAATTTTTAGGTGGCGGATTTGATTACCCTTCTCTTTTTTGTGAGCGTTAGGTCGCCCTCGAATATTAGGTCACCGGACGGCGACGGTACGGGATTAATTGTTTGCCGTTACAAGCTGCCACTTTTCCCCCTAGAGTGTTAGATCAAGGTTGTCTAACCGGCGGTCTGGGTTTAATTGGTGTTCTTGCCCCTCCATATACACTCTTTTCTCTCTATTTTCTAGTTCTCTTGTTGTTTAGGAATATGAATCCTTGTTTATAGTTTGTGTACGGGTCATGTATAAGAATGATTGTTAATTTAACTGATGTTTGATTAGCCAATTTCTTGCTTTAGTAAAAGTGATAGATTGATTTTTCTTGTCCTAAGTGAGGTGACCATCCCCTTAAGTCAAGATTAGAACATACACAAAGTAGCGTGAGATTTGGATTTCATGACCATTGAGTCAATGTCCCATTTGCCTTTGGGCTTGTTCCTAATCGGAGGAATCTAGGTTTAGTGTTCTAGGTGATTTGTTGGTTGCATGACTATTGAGTCAAGAATTTAACTAGAAGTGTATCTAAGTGCATGACTAATGACTTAGGTGCTAGCTTAAGTGATTCATTGCCCTTAGAAAATAGGGAAACCTTCATTTCTTGCATACGAATCTATGTTATGGTTGTGTTTGATTAGAGTGCCTAATGCTTCTAATTAGGGTGTGGTTGTATGTGAGTGTTTCCTACCTAGGTTATATTATCTAGGGTCCTAATTGGTGGACGAGGTGACCATCCCTTCCAATTAGGAGCCTAACTAGTTAATGCTAGTGAGGTGAGTATCGAGCTATGACAAATGCAATCAGTGAAGTTATCTAGTTACGATGGCTAATGCGTGAACTACGTGTTCCGGATGTGCGTCCACTCCTTTGTATTGCGATAACCATGAGAGAACAAAACATGTGGAGATTGATTGTTTTTGTGCGAGAAAGAGTTGCCAGCACATAGATGAACCTTGCAAGATTTCGACCTTTAGTCAGCTGCAGAGTAGGGGTGGGCATTCGGTCGGTTCGTTTTGACCGAACCGAAATTATGAATACCGGGTCCCCGAATTCTCCCAAACCTCAAAACGAATTCGAACTTAATTATAATTCGGTTCGTTCATTTTAAACCGAATTATAATTCGGTTCGATTTTGCACACAAAACCAAATTTGATAGGCTACTTGTATCTTCTCACTTTTAAATTATTTTTCACCCTTAATATAAACAATAAATATGCAATTATATGCATCATCAATGATAAAATCAAACTTTTCATCACATAAGTCATAAAATATTTCAAATATTTAAGTATAAAAACAACTACAAACATAAAAATACACCATTTGAAGCTTGCAATTATAGTATTTTGATTTTTTGGTCGAAATTTCGGTTCGGTTGAAAGAATCCTGGTTTCCGATATCCATATTTTCCTTCCGAATTCCGAACCGAATAGCATTATTTCGGTTTCGGTTCGGTTTATTTCAGTTTCGGTTCGGGTTTACCGAACCGGTTGCCCACCCCTACTGCAGACGTCTTCACCAAGGCTTGGGAGTAGAGCAATTTACCTACTTATCTTCCAAGCTTGGCCTCTACGACATTCATGTCTCTGCTTGAAGAGGAGTGTTACGAGTCATAGACTGCGCATATTGTCCTTAATTTACATATGTATTTAGTTGGTGACTTTCCTGTTAATTCGACATTGTAAACCTAGGAGATATAAGATGGGTACAAGGAGTTAGAGATGGGTATATAACCCGAGCTAGGTAGTTGTGTGTTGTGTGTCTGTTAAATCCATACACCTAGTGAAGTTTCAGTTAAGAGCTACAACGCTCTATAGACTAGTCATGTTCACATTGAACAGGGAAACCACGTTAAATCATCGTGTTCTTACTTTTCGCATTTGTGTTTCTTCAATCCCTCTTTCCAAACACAAACTACCAACTCCATCCATCCATGAAAGGACGTCTCTGAAATCCAGCTTCATCCCATGAGAGCCCACAATAGGTATGAGAGAAGAAAGAAAGAGATGAGGCAACGACGATTAATAATGGAATAATGAAGAAGAGATAAAGGCAGTGGTGTTACTCTTTGAGAAGCGAGATCAAGAGATGAGATCGGAACGATAGCTCTATGAGAAGGAATAGAGATGGATGGAGCACTTTGAGAAGAGAGAGGAGCAAAATAAGAGGTGTGATTACAAGATGGGCCAAAGGATTATGAATGATTAATGGTTTCTTTACTTTATTGTTATTTGAAGTAACGATTTGATATTTAAGTGATTTCTAATTAAATCTAAAATAAATTATAATTCAATCACTTAAATTTTAAACTACTACAAGACATGCTTATCCCTTATTGAGGGGTTGATTTGTGACCCAATCGCTTGGTTGGGTCAATGGTTCAAACTGGCTTAACAACCTTGTAATGAACCAAACCAAATTTTTGTATATATATGTCTTTGGTAGAAAATGGGACGCTACACTCCCTTGTGCCAGATACTTAAATTAAAGGGCTAATACCACTACAACACCCGAACTATCCGGAAAATGACATTTGTGTCTTATTGTTTCCAATATTCCATATGTGTCCTCCACTATTATTCTGTTAGTGTTGACCGGCGTTGACCATTAGTATTTAACAGAAAATCCAATCAGCATTGACGTGGCATCTGACGTGGAATTTTCATTTAATAAAAAATAAAAAATAAAAATATATAAAAACCTCCCAATCCCTTCTCCGCGTCTCCTCCCGCCGTCTGGTGGAACCTTCTGCCGGGAGCCCTATCCGGGAAGTCGCCATCAACACCCAGATTCGGAACCTTAGCCGAATTCATGATGGGGGGGGGGGGGGGTGTCAAGCTGAGAGGACAGTAAATGGGAATCGAAGGTCGTGGAAGGGGAATCGTCGTTCTCGAAGCGACCAAGGGCATGATTCCAAAATCTCATCGCCGCAAAGCTTCATCCCCACTCAGTGTTCGTCGTCGTCGACCCTCCTAACTCTCCTCCACCACCGCAACAACCTCCAGATCTGACGAGATCCTAACCCATGGATGGCGAAGCTCCTCCGCTCCTCAAGCTCACCGATTGGACATCTGAATCTTCTGGTCATGTTCAAAGGTTGGACGACGGCGAGGTTTCGGGACACAGGAGGGCGAAGCTTGTTGTGGAATGGAGAAGGTCGAGGGAGGCTACCGATACTGGTGGAGATATGAGGGGATTCGCCTCATTCTCTCCCTCACTCCTCATCCTTCGCTCCATCCCCAAGTAAACCCCACATCATTGCTACCTCCGACTTAGAAACAGTTGCGCATAAATCCAGTCTCTGGTCCCCATGAACGCGCTCTGATTTCTTCTCAGACCGATGAGCCTTCCATCAACCTTCGTATTCCCCGATTTCGAAGGTTCGAGATGTGGCGCCACCCTCTTTTTGTACTTCAACGGTTCCCGACGATAATCCAGCCGCATCCACCTCGTCTCTTCCTTTCTTTCCCTCTTCCACACGGCAGTTCCCTCCTCACTTCCGTCATCGGTGCAGGAGCAGTCGACCACAACTTCGAAGTCGCCGAAGTATCGACGGGAAATCCTCCGCTCCTCAAGCTCAACGATTGGAGAACCGATTAAATTTTTTTCAATTTTTTATTTTCAAAGTTTTATTTAATATAAATTAAAAATGTGAGGTGTCAATGACTTGGCACTGCCACGTCAACAAAAGTCAATGTTAAGTTGACCGTCGTTTGGTCAACTATTATCTTTAACGGTCAACGAAATTGGCAGGATACAAATGACACAAAATATAATAGTTCAGGACATGAATGGAATATTGAAAAGAATAGGATACAAGCATTTTCGTCATAGTTCGGGTGTTGTAGTGGTATTAGCCCTAAATTAAACGATTCTGGGCAATGCCAAAAGTGTCGTACAGTAACTAGTAATTGAGTCCTGAATCTGAGGTCTCAATGTTATGATAACCTATATGAAGAGAGTGAGCTATGTTGGCGAGATAGTCCATCGCCTAATTACATTCTCTATAAGTATGAGAGATGATCACCTCCCAGTCTTGATTGACAGTTTCCTGGAGCCTCCGAATGAGGTTCGAGTAGTGAGTATTCTCATGAATTCCTTTTTGGAGAAGATGTACAAAAATGGTAGAATCCAACTTTAACATCACCTTTTTGTAGCCTTCTCTCTAGGGAGTTGCAAGCCAAGAAGGGCTCCTTGTAGTTCATCCCTCGTGATAGTGCATGTCCCAAATTAGCTGCAAAAGCACCTAAACACTTGCCGAGATTATTACCGATGAGGCCACCAGTCGTTACCTCCGAGTTTGATTAAAAACGGATCCATCGACATTAACTTCACCCACCCTAGAGGAGGTGCCTCCCAAGCAAGCTCTGTACTGGACTTATTTTGTTGCATTCCCAACATCTTGGCATTATTCTCTTTAGCTTGTAGGATCGTCTTGTTCCAGTAGTGAATGCGGAATGCAAGACTAATAGATTCCTCCCTCTTTCCTTCAAAAATCCATTCGTTCCTTCTCTTCCATATGTACCAGATGGCAACACCAAAGAGCAGTCCTGAGTTTGGGTCTTGCACATTAGCCGCAATCCATTCTGCAAAAGCAAGGTCGTGTGTTAGGTTATTCTCAATGATACCTACTTTTTGCCAAACCTGTATGGCGTATGGACAATGTCGGAAGACATGCTCAGTAGTCCCGGGTACCGATTTGAAGATTTCACAAGTATCTACTAAGCAGAGCTTCCGTCTCTTTCTTTTACAATTTGTCATTAGGCGGTTGTATTATGTAAGCCAGAGATGGTGGCGTATTCTATTGGGTCAGTCCACTTTCATGCGCTTTTCCAA